TCGTGGTCACACGGCTAATTTTTTTTTCTTTTGAGAGGGAGTCTCACTCTGTCACCCAGGCTAGAGTGCAGTGGCATGATCTGGTTTCACTGCAACCCCCGCCTCCCGGGTTCAAGACATTCTCCTGCCTCAGCCTCCTAAGTAGCTGGAACTATAGGCAAGGGCCACCACACTCAGCTAATTTTTGTATTTTTAGTAGGTACAGGGTTTCACCGTGTTGGCCAGGATGGTCTCGAACTCCTGACCTCAACTGATCCTCTCACCTTGGCTTCTCAAAGTACTGAGATTACAGCCATGAGCCACCCCCCTGGCATTTTGTTTTTATTTTGTAGACATGGGGTTTTGCCACATGGCCCAGGCTGGTATCGAACTCCCGGCCTCAAGTGATCCTCCTGCCTCAGCCTCCTAAAGTGCCGGGCTTACAAGCATGAGCCACCGTGCCCAGCCATAGTTTTCTTTATTAATCGAGCACTTTATTTAATTTATTTTAATTAATTAAGTGCTTCCTGCACTCAAGCTACATCCAGGGACAACCTCCAACACCGGAGCCTTGGTAGCTGCTCCCACTCTGGAGATGGGGAAACTGAGGCTCGGGTTGGGGAGCAGATTGAAGGGTGTCCTGCTCTGCAGGATCCCAGAACCGCAGTGGAGTCTGAGATGGGGAAACTGAGGCTCGGGTTGAAGAGCAGATTGAAGGGTGTCCTGCTCTGCAGGATCCCAGAACCGCAGTGGAGTCTGAGATGGGGAAACTGAGGTTTGGAACGGGGAAGGTCATCACTGCCCCACGTGACACGCTGGTGATCTGTCCCTGCCCCCCGCTCCCTACCACAGCTCAATGGGTCGGCCACCATCAACGCCAACGTCCAGGTGGCCCGGCTGCCAGCCCAGGACCAAGGCCCGGAGGATGGGGCGCGGTGCCTGGCCATGGGCTGGGGCCGGCAGGGAACCCACAGTCCCGTGGCCAATGTCCTGCAGGAGCTCAACGTGACGGTGGTGACGTCCGGCTGCCGCCGCAGCAATGTCTGCACGTTTGTGAGGCGCCGGCGGGCCGGCATCTGCTTCGTAGGTGCCCGGGTGCCCCTCTGCTCCCCACGCGCCCCCCACTCCTGGCCCTGGCCCAGACCGCAGCCACAGGCACCGAGGCCAGACCCTAGGAGGGATCACAGGGTCCCTCCCCGTGCTTTGCACATTCCCTGGGTGTCCCTCTGCTCCCCGCCCACTCCTGGCACCAGACCCTAGGAGGGGCTTCCCAACCCGACAGACAGCAGGTGGGCGGGCAGGAAGCCTGGGAGTCCAGCTTCCCCACCTCGTCTGCCTTCACAGGGGGACTCCGGCGGCCCCTTGGTCTGCGATGGGCTAATCCAGGGAATCGACTCCTTCATCCGGGGAGGCTGTGGCTCCGGGTTCTACCCCGACTTCTTTGCTCCGGTGGCTCAGTACGCAGACTGGATCGACTCCATCATCCGACGCTCCGAGGACCACCCCTGCTCCCACCCCCAGGACCCGGCCGGCAGGACCCAGTGAGAAGCTCGGCCCGGGTCAGCTCAGCTGGACACAGCTGCAGTCTCCAGCAGCTGGAACAATAAACATCCCTCTGTTTTGTAGACTGTGTCTGAGATTTCTCGGCTGTGTGATTGGGTGTGGAAAATGGTCAGTAGGCCGGACACGGTGGCTCACGCCTGTAATCCCAGCACTTTGGGAGGTTGAGGCAGGTGGATCACTTGAGCTCAGGAGTTTGAGAGCAGCCTGGGCACCATAGCAAGACCCTGCCTCTATTAAAATAAATAAATAAATAAAATAGAATGTCTGAGCCAGGCCTGGTGGCTCATGCCTGTAATCCCAGCACTTTGGGAGGCCGAGGCCAGCAGATCACCTGAGGTCAGGAGTTTGAGACCAGCCTGGTGACATGGTGAAACCCCATCTCTATTATAAGTATTAAAAAATTAGCCAGGTTGGCCGGGCGTGGTGGCTGATGCCTATAATCCAAGCACTTTGGAGGCCAAGGCAGGCGCATCACCTGAGGTCCAGAGTTTAAGACCAGCCTGACCAACATGGTGAAACCCCGTCTTTTATTAAAAATAAATAAATAAATAGCCAGGTGTCGTGGCATGTGGGAGACTGAGGCAAGAGAATTGCTTGATCCTGGGAGGTGGGGGCTATAGTGAGCCTAGATCACACTGCTACACTCCAGCCTGGGTGACAAAGTGAGACTCTGTCTCAAAAAATAAAAATAAAAATAAAAATAAAAATAAATAAATAAATAAATGTAAAATAAAATGGTCAATAGAATGTCTTAGGCATCACTGGTGTGAGCTGCCACCAGGTGGCAGCAGAGCCAGCGCAATGGGGCAAGAGGACAAGAAATGAGTCTCTTCCTTTTCTTCTCCTTCTCCTTCTCCTCCTCCTTCTTTTCTTCTTTCTTCTTTTTCTCTCCCTCTCCTCCATCTCCTTCTCCTCCTTCTTTTTTGAGATGGAGTCTCGCTCTGTGGCCCAGGCTGGAGTGTGGCGGTGCAATCTCGGCTCACTGCAACCTCCGCCTCCTGGGTTCAAGTGATTCTTCTGCCTCAGCCTCCCGAGTAGCTGTGATTACAGGCCCCCGCCACCACACCTGGCTAATTTTTGTATTTTTAGTAGAGACGGGGTTTCACCATATTGGCCAGGCTGGTCTTGAACTCCTGACCTCGAGATCTGCCCACCTCGGCCTCCCAAAGTGCTGGGATGACAGGCGTGAGCCCCCGCGCCCTGTCCCTCTGTTTTTGTTTCACTGCAGATGGGGTCTTGCTCTTTCGTCCAGGCTGGGGTGCAGTGGTGCAATAACAGCCCATTGCAGCCTCTGCGACCTCCCGGCTCAAGTGACCCTCCCACCTCAGCCTCTGGAAGTGCAGGGACTGCAGGCCTGGCCGTGGTTAGCTCCATTGTTCACGTCTTCCCCACAGGCTCCAGCTGCTCACCGTAATGACCCTCTGTCTTTCTGTTTCATTTTCCTCTTAACACACCCAGCCAGCTTTCCACGTCAGCAGGGCGGCTGGAGACGGTCGGGTTAGTGGCCGAGCCGCCCGTTCTTGCTGCGGCCCTGTCTGTTACCACATCTTGCGGTTGCAATTTCCAGCATTCTTGTTTAGTAATCCGGACTCTGCATCCTCCAGGCTTTGTTCAGAGTTTCTGACTTTCTCAAGGAGACATGTTAGAATCTCAGCAATCACATTTGTGACCTCACTTTCTAGTCTCTGTGAGTATGAAATAATCCACAGGGGGCCGGGCCCAGCGGCTTCTGCCTGTGATTCTAGCATTTTGGGAGGCAGAGGTGGGTGGAGCATCTGAGGTCAGGAGTTCGAGACCAGCCTGGACAACATGGTGGAAACCCCCCGCTCTACTACAAATACAAAACTTAGCCACGTGTAGTGGCGGGTGCCTGTGATCCCAGCTACTTGGGAGACTGAGGCAGCAGAATCGCTTGAACCCGGGAGGCGGAGGCTGCAGTGAGCCGAGATGGTGCCATTGCACTCCAGCCTGGGCAATGAGAGCAAAATTCGGTCTCGAAAATAAATAAATAAATAAATAATCCACGATAGAGAGAAAAAAAGGATGCGGGAAATCCTGCGTGCTGCTCCCCCTCGGGATGATGTCTGAAGTCCTCCCCACCACGGACCCACCACTCCCACCTCACAGATTCTGAGAAGTATTTTAATTTTTTTGCAGAGATGGGGGTCTCACTATGTTGTCCAAGCTGGCCTCAAATTCCAGGGCTCAAGCTATCCTCCTATCTGGGTGTCCCAACATGCTGGGCTGGTAGGTGGCAGCCACTGTGCCCAGCCAACCCTGATTCTGTTCATCGGAACCTGCCCTCAGTGAACAATTTGGGAGTAAGCATTTGATCCAGGCCCTGCCAACCGAAGGCAACCTTGAGACTTGGCTGGAGTGATGAGGAATTTTAGGAGGGGCCCACTGAGCCACTGGGTTGAGTGTGGGGTCCCTGGAAGTGTAATAGGGAAGCCTGGTGAGCAGAGATGCCATCAGAGAAGAAAGGAGAAGCCAGAGGCAGACACCAGACACTGTTCAGGCAGCTGGATCACACCACACCTGAAGGCGGCCATCCCTGAACTTTCTTTTTTTTTTTTTTTTTTTTTTTTTTTGAGACGGAGTTTCGCTCTTGTTACCCAGGCTGGAGTGCAATGGCGCGATCTTGGCTCACCACAACCTCCGCCTCCTGGGTTCAGACAATTCTCCTGCCTCAGCCTCCTGAGTAGCTGGGATTACAGGCACACGCCACCATGCCCAGCTAATTTTTTTTGTATTTTTAGTAGAGACGGGGTTTCACCATGTTGACCAGGGTGGTCTCGATCTCTTGACCTTGTGATCCATCCGCCTCGGCCTCCCAAAGTGCTGGGATTACAGGCTTGAGCCGCCGCGCCCGGCCAACTTTCTATACAACTTTCATGATTCCGGCTCCACCCAGATTGTCTTGGTTTTCCTGTCCCTTGTAGCCAGTCTTCCCAGCTGCCTCTGCGTTTGCCTTTCCAACATTCTTATCCGGGCGTCAAGCCCCAGAAGCCACAGGGACAGAGACAAGGGTGTCAAGTGACCTTCCTCCCACACCCATCAGAGCTTCTCTCCAATTTGGAGGAGGAAGAGGAGAAGGGAGGGGTAGGAGGATGAGGAAGTGGGTTGTTTACACACTGGCTTCCAGCTAGGATTGTGAAACAAGCTGGAGGGACTCCGGGTCTGGTGAAGTTGGGGCTGGGGGGCTGGGGTGGGTGCAGCACCCCTCTCTGCTTCCTGCCCATCTGAGGGACTGCCCCCAACCAGGGCCAGCCAGCCATCAGGCTCACGGAGACCGGAGGGTCTCCCAGCAACCTGTTGCCTCTGGTGTGAGTCTGGCAGGAGATAACCCAGCCCCCAGGAGGGTGGAGGCTGGGAGGGTGGGTGCCCCTTTCTCCAGCTGGACCACTGCCCACCTGACAGTCAGGGCTCCCGGGAGCCTCCCACCTCCTCCACCGTCATAAAAGCACCCCCAGGGCCCCGCCAGGGTCAGTGTGTCCACCACAGCGGCTTCACCATGCACAGCTGGGGGCGCCTGGCGGTTCTGGTCCTCCTAGGAGTGGTGGCCTGCGGTAAGGGGTCCTGGGCCTGGGGTGAGGGGCAGGGGTTTCCCAGGTGGTCCTCTGGGTCACACGGACGGTCCTCCAGCCCCACCAGGTAGGCAGGAAGAGAGGGGTGTCATTCCTCACCAATGAAAGGCTCTGAAAGCTGAGGAAGTCTAGAAACTTCGGTTCGGAAATTGGAGCTTTCTGGGGTCAGCTTTTCTTGCAGAGAGAATCCGAGTGTCTGCGTGGAAAACTGTTCTTCCGGGCGGCTGGCTGAGCTGCCCGGGGCACTGTAGGTAACCCCCTATCTGGGCACCAAGGAAGGAGGGCTGAGTAGACCCCGGGCACAATTAGTGCCTGAAGAATATATATAAAAGGAAGTAACTGAGTAGGCCGGGTGTGGCGGCTCCTGCCTGTAATCCAAGCACTTTGGAGGCCAAGGTGGGCGAGTCACCTGAGGTCGAGAGTTCAAGACCAGCCTGACCAACATGGTGAAACCCCATCTTTAAAAAAAAATAAATTAAAAGGAAGTAACTGAGTAATAAGATATTTTTCAGGCATGAATTGTTCCGACTATAAACGAACACATGATTATATATGTAAAGGATTACATGAAGGAAATAACTGAGTAATAACACCATAAACTAAGACGTTCTTCAGGCACTACGTGTGCCGGGATCTGCTTAGCTCTCCTTCCTCCGTGCCCAGATGGGGGGTTACCCACAGGGCACTGGTTGGGTCAGCCCTATTTCTTTTTTTTCTTTTTCTTTTTTTTTTCTTTGAGACGGAGTTTCGCTCTTGTTACCCAGGCTGGAGTGCAATGGCGCGATCTCGGCTCACCACAACCTCTGCCTCCTGGGTTCAGGCAATTGTCCTGTCTCAGCCTCCTGGGTAGCTGGGATTACAGGCATGCGCCACCATGCCCAGCTAATTTTTTTTTTTATTATTATTTTTTAGTAGAGACGGGGTTTCACCTTGTTGACCAGGATGGTCTCGATCTCTTGACCTCATGATCCACCTGCCTCGGCCTCCCAAAGTGCTGGGGTTACAAGCTTGAGCCACCACGCCCGGCCTATGGGTCAGCCCTGTTTCTGTTATGTCCAGTTGGAAGCCATTGCACCCAGGGTGCAGAGCTGGGATCTGTCCCTGGTCCCCGGTGCACTGTGGCTTCTGTCCTCCCGGGCGTTCTGGTTCCCGGGACATCTGAGTCTGTGACGCTGAGGGGTCCCGAGATGCAGATGGGATTCTTTTTCTTTTTTTCCTGAGACAGAGCCTTGCTCTGTTGCCCAGCCTGGACTACAAAGGCACCATCTGGGCTCACTGCAACCTCGGCCTCCTGGGTTCAAGCCATTCTCTTGCCTCATCCTCCAGAGTAGCTGGGATTACAGGCACGCGCTACCACGCCCAGCGAATGTTTTGTATTTTTCATAGAGACGGGGTTTCATCATGTTGGCCAGGCTGGTCTCGAACCGCTGACCTCGTGATCCGCCTCGGCCTCCCAAAATGCTGGGGTTACAGGCACGAATCACCACGCCCTGAGATGAGATTCTTGGGGAGCGGCCTGTGGGGTGAGGGCCAGGGCTGGCCTCGCCGGGGGGAGCAGTCGACCCCGCGGCCCTCACGCGTCCCCCGACCCACAGCGGCGCAGCCCCGCGGTCGGATCTTGGGCGGCAGCGAGGCCGAGGCCCACGGGCGGCCCTACATGGCGTCGGTGCAGGTGAACGGCGCGCACCGGTGCGGCGGCGTCCTGGTGGCGGAGCAGTGGGTGCTGAGCGCGGCGCACTGCCTGGAGGACGCGTGAGTGTGGGCGCCGCGCGCAGGGAGCAGCCCTGGGGGGAGGCGGGAGACTCGGCCGGCACCGACCCCGGACCTCGCCCGGTCCCCAGGGCCGACGAGAAGGTGCAGGTGCTGCTGGGCGCGCACTCCCTGTCGCAGCCGGAGCCCTCCAAGCGCCTGCATGACGTGCTCCGCGCGGTGCCCCACCCGGACAGCCGGCCCGGCTCCATCGACCACGACCTCCTCCTGCTGCAGGTCCGCCCGGCCCCGCCTGCACCCGCGCCCCGGGTCTGGGCTCGATGTCTCCTGCCCTGCTGGGACCCCCGCCCCACCCTCGCTCCACCCCGCCTGCACCCCGACGCGGGGTCCAGCCCGATCTGTCCGGCTTCTTGGGGACCCTGCCCCCCATCCCCGCACCCTCGCCCTGGGTCTAGCCTCGACCTCTCCTGCTGCGCTGGGAGCCCCGAAACCCCGCTCCCCCTGCATCCCCACCATGAGTCTAGCGTCGACCTCTCCTGCTGTGCTGGGAGCACCCCCCAAAACTCCGCTCCCCCTGGTCCCCCACCCCGGGACCAGCCCCGACCTCTCCAGCTGCATGGGGACCCCGCCCCGCCCCCGCCCCCGCCCCCTGGGTCTAACCTCGACCTCTCCTGCTGCGCCGGAAGCCCCCCCAAATCCCCGGCTCCCCCTGCATCCCCGCCTCGGTCTAGCCTCGACCTCTGCAGCTGCACTGAAGACCCTCGCCCCCACCCCACCCCCACCTGCACCCTACCCAGGATCCAGCCTGGCTCCCTCCCGCTGCACTGAGACCCCCGCCCCCGCCCCGACGCCCCCTTCCCCTGTCTGGTCTCCCCAGCCTAGCAGCCCCGCGCCCCAACCCTGACGTCCGCCTCCACCCGCAGCTGTCTGAGAAGGCCGTGCTGGGCACCGCCGTGCGCCCCGTGCCCTGGCAGCGCGTGGACCGCGACGTGGCGCCGGGTACCCTCTGCGACGCGGCCGGCTGGGGCACCGTCAGCCACGCGGGCAGCCGGCCCGACCGCCTGCAGCACGTGCTCCTGCCGGTGATGGACCGCGCCACGTGCAACCGGCGCACGCACCACGACGGCGCCATCACCCAGAGCCTGATGTGCGCGGAGAGCAACCGCCGGGACACCTGCAAGGTGCGCCTTCAGGAAGGAGGCGGGCCTGGGGAGCAGCCCGAGGAGGGGCGGGAAGAGGGGCGCAGGCGGGATCCGTGGGGGTCGGGGGCAGGGAAGGGGCGGGGCCCGGAGGAAGGGGCGGGCGTGGGTGGGGCCCGGATGAGGGGCGGGGCGTGTGGAGGGTGGTGTGTGGGCGGGGTCTCGATAAAGGGGCGGGACTTATGACTAGTGTGGGGGTGTGGGGCGGAGTCCGGAGGAGGTGTGGGGGCGTGCGGAGGGTGGGGAGGGGCAGGGCCCGGAGAAAAGGGCGGGGCATATGGCAAGGGTGGGGTGTGGGGGTGGGGCCTGGAGACGGGGCGCGGCCTCGTAGGGTGGTGGCTGTGGGTGGGGCTTGGATAAGGGGTTGGGCCTGTGGATCGCAGTGGCTGAAGAAGGGTCAGGGCTGGTAAAAAAGGCAGGAAAGAGTGGGAGGTGAAAGGGCCCTTGGGTTACGGGAGAGGGGGCGGGCCCGTGGAAGGGGCGGGGCTCTAGGAGGGGGCGGGGCCCAGTAACTACAGTCCGCAAGGGGGCGAGGCCAGGAATAGGGGTGGAGCATGACGAGGGGTAGGGCTGCAGGGGCGGGGCCTGAATGAAGAGGTGGGACCTGTGGAGAGGGTGGGACTGGAGAAGGGGCAGGGCGAGCAAAAGGGCAGGCGGCAGAGAAAGGGTGGGAGGTATAGAGGGCGCGGCACGTGGAAGGGGCAGGGCAGGTGGAAGGGGTGGGGCAGGTGGAAGGGGCGGGGCAGGTGGAAGGCGCGGGGCAGGTGGAAGGGGCGGGGCAGGTGGAAGGGGCGGGGCAGGTGGAAGGCGCGGCCCGTGGAAGGGGCGCGGCCCGTGGAAGGGGCGGGGCACGTGAAAGGCGCGGGGCAGGTGGAAGGGGCGGGAACTTCCGAAGCGGCTCGGCTGGTGCGGAGCGGGATGCCTGAGAAGGGCTGAGGCCTAGGACAAGCTGTGGCTTGCGTGGTACCCAGGGACGAGGATTGGGTGGTGCTCTAGGGGAGGGGCGCGGCCTGAGGTGGGCGGGGTTGAGCAGAACAGGTGGCCACTGAGACGGGTTAGGGCAGAAGTGGGATCTGGGGCAAGTGAAGGTCTGGGAGAGCAGGGGTGGGACCCGACTGGAAAGGGCATGGAGGGGTGGGACCCCAGACTGGAAAGGGCATGGAGTGGGGTTGCGGTGGGGTCCACGTGGTGAGGTTGAGGTCCAAGGGGGTGTAACCAGGATCTGGCGGCGGGCCTAGAGGGCGTGGCTTGAGGGCGTGGCCTTCGTGGTGGGCGTGGGGCGGGGATATTGATCAGCGAGGACCAGGTTGGGGCGGGAGCTGCAGTCAGGTGAGGGTGTATGGCGTGTGGGGCTGGGTTGGGCGCGGCCTGTCCCTCACGGCCCATCCTGTCCTCGCAGGGCGATTCCGGGGGCCCGCTGGTGTGCGGGGGCGTGCTCGAGGGCATAGTCACCTCTGGCTCCCGCGTTTGCGGCAACCGGAAGAAGCCCGGGATCTACACGCGCGTGGCGAGCTATGTGGCCTGGATCAACAGCGTCCTGGCCTAGGGCATAGGGCCTGCGGGTCAGGGTCACCCCAACAATAAAGTCCGCAACAATAAAGTTATCCACTCCTGCATCCAGTTGGTCTTTATTGAGCACTCACTGTATGTAGAAGAGGAGGCCGAGGTAGGAGGATCAGTGGATCTCGGGAGTTCGAGACCAGCCTGGGCAACATAGCAAGGCTGCATCTCTACACAAAAATAACAAATTAGCTGGGCAATTTGCGGGCATGGAAGTGGGAGCTTGTGGTTCCAGCTACCCAGGACGCTGAGGCACGAGGATAGCTTGAGCCCAGGAAGTCGAGGCTGCAGTGAGCTGTGATTGTGCCACTGCCCTCCAGCCTGGGCAACAGAGTGAGACTTTGTCTCTTTCTTTGAAAAACAAAACGAAACAAAACCAGGCTGGGCGAGGTGGCTCACGCCTATAATCTCAACACTTTTGGAGGCCAAGGCGGGTGGATCATTTGAGGTCTGGAGTTCCTGAGCAGACTGACCAATATAACAAAACCCCATCTCTACCAAAAAAAAAAAAAAAAAAAAAAAAAAAAAAAAAAAAATTGCCAGGCGTGGTGGCATGCACCTGTAATCCCAGCTACTAGGGAGGCTGAGGCAGAAGAATCGCTTGAACCTGGGAGGCTGAGGTTACAGTGAGCCGAGATAATGGCACTGCACTCCAGGGCACTCCAGGGCAACAGAGCAAGACTCTAACTCGGAACAAAAACAGAAGCATTAAAAAGAGCAGGCCAGGAGCGGTGGCACACGCCTGTAATCCCAGCACTCTGGGAGGCCGAGGCAAGTGGATCACGAGGTCAGGAGTTCGAGACCTGCCTGACCAACACTTTGAAATCCCGTCTCTGCTAACGATACAGAAATCAGCTGGGCGTGGTGGCAGGCGCCTGTAATCGCTACTACTCGGGAGGCTGAGGCAGAAGAATTGCTTGACCCTGGAAGGCGGAGGTTGCAGTGAGCCAAGATCGTGCCACTGCGCTTCAGGATGGGTGATAGAGCGAGACTGCATCTCAGAAAAAAAAAAAAAAAGAGAGAGAGAGAGAGCAAGGCAGAAAGCTACAGATAAAAGCGCAAAAACTCAAAAAAAAAAAAAAAAAGCGCAAAAACTGAAAAATTATTTTTTCGAGGTCCTGCGCTTCCCGGGGGCTCAGGGTTCTCGGCAGCGTCTCAGGAGGCGGCCACACGGAGGCGCTCTTGCTCTTTCCTGGAAGTCTGAGAAGGTTCACCCCTCCCACCCACACTCCAGGGGAAGCCCCGCGAGGCGGGGGGTGTCCCCTCCTGGTCTGCCTGATGTCGTTTCCATCTGCTTCCCAAGGGGAACGTGAGCGCCTACTGTGTGCAAGGCTGTGGGCTGAGACTCCAGTGCAGAGACCCTGTGAAGCTGTCCTGCTATGACCCAGGTCCCAGAAGGGGAAACTGAGGCTCACAGGGGCTGTGCAACTCTCCTGAGGTCACACGGAAGCTCCGGGAGGCAGCCTGGACTCCAGCCCAGAGCCACGGAGCCTCCTTTCACAAACCACCCTGGGTGCGGCCGGGTCGGGGCAGCGCACCTGCTTGGGGCCTCGGACTTCAGGTTACCTTTCTGGGCACGGGCAGTCAGGAGGCCTGAGGTCTTGTGCCCTTTCTCCCACCTGGAGGAGGGGCCAGCCAGGCCCTATTGTAGGAAAAGAGACTGAGGGTTTGAGAGGTAGGGTCCACTGGGAAGTGGGGGATGGGATTGAAATCTGTGCTAGGGTGTTTTCTGGGGGCTATGGAGCGCTCACCTGGGAATCACATTTACACGCAAGCATGTATTGAGCACTTACTGTGCGCAGGGCCCTGGGCCTGGCATGGTAAGATACGTCTAAGCCCCAGCCCTGCTCTTAGGAATCTGGTAAATATTCCACCGCATGGAAAGGCATCCATTCAGCCGTCTGGAGACCACCATGAAGTTGTGTCTGTGTTTGTGAATCTCATGTTTTTTTGAGATGAAGTTGTGTCTCACTGTGTTTGTACGTCTCACGTTGCTTTTTGAGACAGTCTCACTCTGCTGCCCAGGCTGGAGTGCAGTGGTGCAATCTCAGCTCACCGCAACCTCCAACTCCCGGCTTCAAGCAACTGCCCCAGCCTCCTGCGCAGCTGGGATTATAGGCGCCCGCCACCACACCTGGCGGATTTCTGTATTTTCAGTAGAGACGGGGTTTCGCCATGTTGCCCAGGCTAGTCTTGAACTTCTGACCTCAGGTGATCGACTCATCTCAGCCTCCCAAAGTGCTAGGATTAGAGGCGTGAGCCTCCGTGCCTGGCCTGCATGTAATTTCTAAAGCCCTACAACATTTAAGGGGAGACACGGAAACATAGTTGCTGGTAATTCGGTCATTGATTCATTCATTCAATAGGTATTTCCCGAAGGAAATGACACCAGAGAAGCAGTTCTCACGGATTCAGTGTGAGGCGGGGCAGGAGAGAGAACCACGTTTGGCAAACACAAACCCCCAGTTAGACGGGAACTTCCAATAAGCAACAGAAGCTTTTTTTTTTCTTTTTTTGGGGGACACGGTTTCACTCTGTCACCCCAGGCTGGCTCAGGTGCACTGGCGCCATCACGGCTCACTGAAACTTCAACCTCCGGGGCTCAAGAAATCCTACCACAGCCCCATGTGTAGCTGGGACCACAGGCACGTGCACTGCCACCGCGCCTGGCTAATTTTTTAAGATTTTTGTATGCCGGGCGCGGTGGCTCACGCCTGCAATCCCAGCACTTTGGGAGGCCAAGGCGGGCGGATCACAAGGTCAAGAGATGGAGACCATCCTGGCCAACATGGCGAAACCCTGTCTCTACTAAAATACAAAAAAAATAGCCAGGTGTGGTACCGCGTGCCTGTAATCCCAGCTACTCGGGAGGCAGGAGAATTGCTTGAACCTGGGAGGTGGGGGTTGCAGCGAGCCGAGATTGCAGCACTGCCCTCCAGCCTGGTGCCTGGTGACAGAGCGAGACTGGCTCAAAATAAAATAAAATTAAATAAAAAGAGTTTTGTAGAGATGAGGTCTCGCCATGTTGCCGGGGCTGATCATGACATCCTGGGCCCAAGCAATCCTCCCACCTGGGTCTCCCTTGGTGCTGGGATGTGAGCTGCCACATCCAGCCCACCTGTGCATTTCCACCCCATCCTTTGGTCAGCAGGAGCTACAGAGGGTTACAGAGGAGGAGAGGGTTGAGGCGGCGGCGGGACAGGAGTGGTGGGGGGGACGCAGGCCGAGGGCATCTAGGCACCAAGTCCATGCGTGCACACGCGGTCCGGCCTCCAAGCCGTATGGCCACGGTTTTCTCATCTGTATCTCGGGACCTCAACGTCCCTGGCTCTTAGGGCGATTTTGAGGACCCCTCGGGGGAACTGCGCAGTGCCAAGGACCTGGGGAAGCCGGGAGCAGGGACGGGGGAGCTTCAGGGCCACAGGCCTCCTCTCAGCATCATGCCCCGCCCACCTTGCCCAGCCCACTGTATCCGGAGAGGCAGGCGCCCAGGACCGCCAGCTTCTGACAGCAGTTTGAGGGACAGACCCCCAAACCTAGCACCAAGCGTCAGGCCAGTTGCTTTGCCGGGAGCTCGGACACGCCCATGCCTCTCCACGCTTGACATTACGTCACCAGAATCTGCAATGAGCATCTAGCTCGGCCACGCCCCCCTCTGCACGCGGCACTAAACTCTGCACCGGGCACCTAGCCCACCCCAGAAATCCCCTCTGCACTCGGCACCAGGATCTGCACCCAACACTAAACTCTGCGCCAGGCACCTAGCCTGCCCCGGAAATCCCCTCTGCACTCGGCACTAAACTCTGCACCCGGCACCTAGCCCGCCCTGGAAATCCCCTCTGCACTCGGCACCAGGATCTGCACCCGGCACTAAACTCTGCACCCGGCACCTAGCCCGCCCTGGAAATCCCCTCTGCACTCGGCACCAGGATCTGCACCCGGCACTAAACTCTGCACCCGGCACCTAGCCCGCCCTGGAAATCCCCTCTGCACTCGGCACCAGGATCTGCACCCGGCACTAAACTCTGCACCCGGCACCTAGCCCGCCCTGGAAATCCCCTCTGCACTCGGCACCAGGATCTGCACCCGGCACTAAACTCTGCACCCGGCACCTAGCCCGCCCTGGAAATCCCCTCTGCACTCGGCACCAGGATCTGCACCCGGCACTAAACTCTGCACCCGGCACCTAGCCCGCCCTGGAAATCCCCTCTGCACTCGGCACCAGGATCTGCACCCGGCACTAAACTCTGCACCCGGCACCTAGCCCGCCCTGGAAATCCCCTCTGCACTCGGCACCAGGATCTGCACCCGGCACTAAACTCTGCACCCGGCACCTAGCCCGCCCTGGAAATCCCCTCTGCACTCGGCACCAGGATCTGCACCCGGCACTAAACTCTGCACCCGGCACCTAGCCCGCCCTGGAAATCCCCTCTGCACTCGGCACCAGGATCTGCACTGGGCACCGAGCCAGCTGCGGGAAAACCCTGCCAAAATTGAAAAGAAGCACCTCCCAAACCTGCCCAAGAGCGCATGGCCCCGTCCAGCCGCTCACCGGAAGTCCCGCCCACCGATGTATAGCAGCTTGCACGTGCACGCCGTTTCTCCGCAGCCAATCAGAGCGCCATCCCTCCCTCTCTAACCCCAGGCCTGAGCGCAGTCAGGCGTGACTTTCCTGGCCTCTTTCCCCGGGACCACGGAACCTCGCCCCGGGGTGTCTAATTATTCTCATGCAGGCCTCAGTTTCCTCATTTTAAACTCAGCAATAGACCTCACAGAGAATAAACCCTACGCCAAGGCCCACTCCGGCTCCCACCAGGAGCTGACGGAGCCAGCGGGTGGCCTGTCCCCACCCACCCGCCAGGGGGCCCCACCCACCAGCCAGGGCCCCCTACCCACCCGCCGGGGCCCACTCTGTTGTTGGTCGCTCGCTTTGGACAACCGTGGGCCTGGCATTCACTAGGCACCCCAAACATGCGGAGTGACTCCAGGGGAGCCGGACCCCGCACTTCCAAGCACGAGAGGAGGTTGCAGGGGTGGGGCCAGGGGCTTCGTCCAG